GGCACACACACATAATATCTGGCCCTGAAAGCCATAGGTTGAAATGAAACAGGAGGGATAATTGCTAATATAGAAATTAATACCAGCGAGCACTGGAGTCTAATCCAAAGGGCAGGCCCACGTCACAGAGGAAGTATGGTCATACCTGACCACTCCCCCTCACCACTGAGCATGCACATATTGATAAGATATAGATGTCTGAAGGATCCCAGAAGCCCCCTGTAGCCCTCCCTGCCCTGAGAGCTGAGCAGGGCAGGGCTCTGTGCTACCACAGTGTCCTGTGTCTGTCTCAATACTGTGGCCCTCTGAAAACCAACAGTCTTCCCACTCGACCTCGCGAGCTCCAGGAGGGTGGGAGCTCCCTTTTGGGTCCCCAGTGCCTTTGCACAGTGACTGGAGCTTGATGGACTCACTGTATGTCTGCTGAGTGGGTGGGTGGATGGGTGAGTAGATGGATGGGTGGATAAATGGTTGGGTGGGTGAGTGAATGGATGAATGAGTGGATGGATGAATAGATGGCTGTGTGGGCGGATGGATGAATGAGTGAATGGATGGATGGATAGATGGGTGGGTGAGTGGATAGATGGGTGGGTGGGTGGATGAGTGAATGGATGGATGGTTGGATGGGGAGATGCGTGGGTGAGTACATGGATTGGTGGGTGGATGGATGAGCAGGTGAATGGATGGATGAATGAGTGGGTGGATAGATGAGTGGGGGGTGGAGGAGGGATGATAGATGGGTGGGTAGATGGATAGATGGATGAGTGGATGGATGGATGGGTGAGTGAGTGATGGGTGGATGGATGGATGATAGATGGGTGGGTAGATGGATGGATGAGTGAATGGACAGATGGATGGGTTGGTGGGTGGATGGATGAGTGCACAGATGGCTAGAAGGGTGAGTGGGTGGGTAGATGAGTGGATGGATGGGCAGATGGACAGATGAATGGACAGATGGATGAGTGGGTAGAGGGCTGCAATAAAGAAGCGCTCAGGAGCCAGTCGGGGTCCACTGGTGCAGTGGGGCTCAGTAGCAGTGTGTTTCTGCTGTGCTTAGACCTGGTCCAGTGCAGGGAGAAGAGAATTGGCTTGGGGTGGTGGTGGTAAGGCTCAGGTCTCCCCCAACTGTGCACCTCCCTCTTAGGTGTTGTGCTCTTGGACAATGGGGGTGGTCATCCCTGCCTTCACAGCCTAAGCCAGTAGCGCTGGCTTGTCCCCAGGCTCAACAGAGAGCAGAGCAGAAGTGACCCGGTACCCCATGCGCATGCACGAGCAGTCCCTGTCCCAGGGCATCAGCACGGCTAGCGATGCAGCATCGAGCTCGCTTTCAAATGTCTTTCAATACAGTTCTGGACGGGGTGGTTTATAATACAAAGTGAAATGTATACGCATCGAAAGAACTTGCCAATGGAAGCCAGGAAGAATGGCTCTTTGGCACCTGGCCGCAGAGCTTCACCTAGGAGACTCTGAGTAGAGGCCCCCAAGGTGGGGACAAGCCCAGAGCCGACAAGAGGGCCCTGATTATTGAACCCATTGGGCTGCAGGGATCCACTGGGTCCTTAATGAGCTCAACTGACCGCACGGGAAGTCCCACGCCCTCCGTTTCCACCCTGTGGTCTCAGCTCACTCCATCCAGTAGCATCCACTGGGAATTCTACGATGCATATATTTACATATTTATTCCCGGGCCTCCTTGGGTTCAGTGACTGCAGGTGGCTACAAATGATCATCATTATGCATCCACACATGGGAAGAGCCACCTCACTCCCCCGGGCTTGCACCTCCTAACCACCCACAGCCAGGCTCACCTTGGAAAAGGAACGCATTGACCCAGACGCCCCAGTGTCTGTTCCTGCCCCCTCCCACCCACCTGGTCCTCCTGCTACAATCTGCTGCAAGCGTCCTTTCACCTCCTGCGCCGGTACAGGGTTAGGGTGCTTGATCCCTGAGTTAGAAGTCCTCAGGACACCAGCCCCGCTGTGCAGGACGGGGCGGGGTGAAGCACAGCTCCCAGGGTGGCACAGTGTCAGAGCCGGATCTGGCCCCCACGAGCTGTGGTTTCTACATGAGGAAGCAGATGGGCAGTTCACCGGGTATATTGATTAGGCCTGAGCCATGCTGGGCACATTTGTTAAGTCCCAAGGAGCCCTGGCGGAGTATGAATTGAGCTGCAAACTGCAAGGTCAGTGGTTCGAACCCACTAGTTGCTCCTCGGGAGAAGGATGAAGCTGTGTGCTCCCATAAAGATTTTCGGCTTCAGAAACCCACGGGGGCAGGTCTACTGTCCTATAGGGTCTCTGTGAATCCCACAGACTCAAAGGCAGTAAGCTTTTGGTTTGCAGTGAGGGGCAAAGGAGCCCTGGTGGAGCTGTCTGGTAAGCGTTGGACTGATGAGCACAAGGCCAGCGGTTCAAACCCACCAGCCACTCCACAGGAGACAGACAATGCTATCTGCTCTATTAGCAATATTGACACCCTCAGATCCCCCACCCCCCCACCCCAAGCTCACAATGAGTTAGAACCATCTGAATGGCAGTGGTTTTTTTCGGTGTGGGAGGCACAGAGCCAGGCTGGACACATTTATCAAACCCTTACTGCGTGGGAGATGAGCCTCGGTGAGATATTGGCTTAGGAGTTGGGCTGCTAACCACAAGGTCATCGGTTCAAACTCAACAGCCACTCCTCGGGAGAAAGAGGAGGCTTTCTGCTCCTTTAAAGATTTCCAGCTTGGGAAAACTGCCCACAGGAGCAGTTTGACTCTGTCCTGTAGGAATGCATTCAATGGCAGTTGTTTGTGTGATTGTTTTTTAAGCTATCAACCCAATTTTTCTCTGTTGTTGTTGTTGTTTGGGGGGGAGGGGGTTGGGAATTGAATCAATGGGTTTTTTCCCGTTGATGTTTGGTTTTTCCGAAACATTTTATTGCGCGCTAATACAGACAGCCTATCATCCCCTAGTTCAATCAACGTCGAGCAGTTCGGTACAATTGCTACCATAATCAGCTTCCAAACGTTCCCTGTCTTCTTGAACTCCTTGGCATCAGCTCCCCTTTACGACAGCCCCCTCACCCCCACCCCCCTCAATGGGGTTTCTGCTGGTGTGCTTGTGGGAGGCACTGAGTCCCAAACTGGAGACTCGGCCCCTTCCTTCTTAAAGCCCCAAAAGTCTCTTCCTTGCGGGGCTGGAAGGGGCGGTGGGCCTGTGGGTGGGGCCCGTGTAATTGCATGGGTGGGGGGCCCCCTAGGCGGGAGGTAAGGGACTGATGGGCAGGGCGACCAGACCCACTCTTGCTGGGAGGGGGATCGGTCAGGAGTGAGGAGCCAGCCAGGGCGGTGAACCTTCCATTCCCTACCACCACCCACCCCCTCCCTCCAGCCCTGCGAGAACTTGTCTTTATTCTAAGAGCCTGGGCAGGGCCTGCCCTGCCCTCCCGGAACCATTGTTCCGAAAGCAGGTCTCTTTGAGCTCGCTCTGTTGCAGGGACACGGCTGGCCTTGCCCGCTGGAACCTCAGTGCTGCAAGCATCCCCCACCCACCCCCTCTGCCCCCTCGACCGCCATCCTCTCTCTGCACAGCGCTCGACGCCCCGCCCCCACACCACCCCCAGCAGTATTAAAACAATTTCTTCGCTTGGGCCAGGGAGGCAGATGACCTCATTGGACTCTTTCCATCTCTCGCTTTCATAGAGAAATTACAATTTATAATTGGATGAAATCACGCGGGTGGTAATAGCGGTAAGGGCTCCAACGGGAGGCTGGCTTCACCCCTCACGTGGGGACACTGCCCCGATCTCCCCTCCTGGCCTCCCCAGGCCTGGAGGGCAGTGGCCTCTGCTTGCACCTGGACTATTTACCAGGCCCTGGTCATTCAGAAGGGATGTCCCAGTGGGGCTGGCTGGTGCTGAGGCCTTCTCCTTCTTTAAGGACACGTGCGGGTCCCAGGATACTCACCCCTGCTACCCTGACAGCAGCTCCCCAGGCTGGCTATACACCCCACCCCACCCACCCACCCCGCACCCTAAATGCCCCCTGACAAGCATGTCTCAGAACAGCCTCATCCAACCCTACAAAGAAATGCGCCCAGAGGCAGCCCAGTCCATCTGGATCCGATGTCAGACCACAGCAAACTCTCTGAGATGTGCCATAAAAGCCCTTTTCCAAAGAGGGGTGTGTGTGTGTGTGTGTGTGTGTGTGTGTGTGTGTGTGTGTGTATGTACTTCGGGACCTTCCGCAGGCCACGCCGAGGCTTCTGCCTTGGGTCTGGGGCACAGCCTCCCCTGCCCCCTCCCCAGCTCTCTGCAGGCCGCCCAGGGGAGGGTGACCAGGAGGGCAGCTGGAGGGTGGTGGTGGTGGCGCCCTGACCCCAGTAAGGGCAGTGAGGGAGGTCAGGGGCAGCCTGTCGTGCCCCACTCCTCCTGGGCATGGAAAGGCAGGCCTTGTTCTGGAAGGCAGGCGGCAGGCCCAGTTGGAGTCTCTGAATGACATTTAGCAAGAGGAGCAGGTGCTGGCCCAGCAGAGCCAGCTCGGCTGGGCAGGCGGCCCTGTGGAGCTAGGACCTTCCAGAACTTCCTGCTGCCCTTCCCAGGCCTTCCGTCCCTGGGCAGGCGGTCTGGAGGTTCAGGGAAGGGCACTTGGCACAGCTGGGGGGGGGGGTGTACTGAGGCGTGCAAGTCAGGCCTGCATGGGGCTGGGGCCAGCGGTGATGGAGATCACCCCAACCCCCTCCCCAGCTCTTAGGAACTGGAAGGGGTGGAGGGTGGGGTGGGGCAGGGGCTCATCCCCTCCTGGTGCCTGTTTTCCTCGGGGCTTAATCCTCACATTGTTTTTGGCAGGTGAAGGAGGCAGTGGAGAGGAGGAGGCATCTTTTCTGGACAGTGGGAGACCAGGAGGGTGAAGCAGGAAAAAGCTGGCCTCCCCGCCCCCACCCCACCCCCACCCCCAGCTTTCCAGAAAGCCTTCTTTGCACACAGGAGCAGCCAAGAAGAACCGAGTGCCGCCCACCCCCCACCCCACCCGCCTGCATCTCCCCAAAAGCCAGGTGTGGGGCTGACGGGCTTGGCAGCCCATGGCAGCAGCTCGGCCCCACGGTGAACGTCTGAACTCCTCGTTGGGGTGATGGGCCCCCGCTTGCCACCCCCACCATCGCCAGACAGCACCGCCTGAGTGGCAGGGATACCCAGTCTTTGGAGAGCGACGGCTTCTCCCTGGCTCGGCCACGCTAGAACGCTCCCAAGCCCATTCTGCCGAGTGACTTAAAGAGATAAAAGAAAGGAAAAACGTGGTGAAGAGAAAAGGGGTTAAATCCACGCAGAAGCCTTTCAGAGGAGGGGGCAGCCAGCAGACAAAAGGGGGAGAGGCCAAAGAGGTTGTGGAAGTCGCCAGCAGCGAGGGGCCACCCCACCCTGTGATGGGCACCTGGGGCTAGAGCATGCCCGGGGTGCACAGGCAGCATGCCCTTGGCTACAAGCAGGAGTCCCCAGGTGGCCTGGTGGCCCCCACACCCACGCCCCTCACTCTGGGGCGAGAGGCCAGCAGCGGTGCCTGAGGTCTAAGTCATTCACGGAGGACACAGCTGGGGACCCAGGCCTGCATCTGACCACCACCAGCCTTACCGTCTGCCTTGAAGCGCCCAGCCCCACGTGGCCCAGGAGGGCAGTTTGTGCGGACCAGTGTCTGGCGGCCTATGAGGCCCTCAGGGCCGGAATGTGAGCCAGGCCCAGGCCCACTTTGACCCTGGAATCCCACAAGGATCACTAGACGGGTGAACTCAGCCGGACCGGGGGGCCTGGAGCTGTAGCGCAGGAGGAGGTAAGGCAAGGGGCCCAGAGGTGGTGGGAGGGACCCCCCGGGTGCCCAGGGAGAGGCACTAGGGCTTGCCTGCTTCTCTGGCTCCCCACATGAGTAGCTTCCGCCTGGCCAGGTAGGGCCATGGGAAGTGCCCTGTGGCCAGCCCAGGGAGTAAGGAAAGAGCTGTGATCCTGAATAACTCAGCCCGCCACCTCCCCACCCACCCTCTGCGTTTGGGACTAGGAGTACCACCCAAGGGGGCAGTAGGGAGGCCTTGGGGGACCCTCTAGTGGTTACGGCATTGAGCTGCTAATCGCAAAATCAGACGCTGTACCACCAGCCGCTCCGAGTAGACAAGCTCTCTGTTTCTGGAAGGAGCTGCAGTCTTAGAAACCCATGGTGCACTTCTGCCCCGTGTCACTGGGCCGCCGTGAGGGTGGTGAGTGGGGTAATACCAGCTTTGTGGGAGCCCGGTGGTGTCCTGGTTACGCGCTGGGCTGCTAACCACAGGGTCAGCAGTTCACCACCACCAGCTGCTCCTCCGGGTGGGGAAAAGGCTTTTCCTGCCTCCTGCAACGAGTTAAGAGTTTCGGAAACCCACAGGGGTAGTGCTGCTCCGTCTTATACTGTCACTATGCGTTGGAATCGACTGGATGGATAGCAATGAGTTTGAATGCTAGCCACCCACTACATGATGTCCTGGGGCTGGGGGGCGCCTCCCCCCCACTAGATCCGCTTTATCCAGTCCCTGCCAAGTTCCAGAGCCCGTTGACTAGGAGGGCAAACTGAGGCCCAGAGACAGGCTGTGAGTGGCCTGAGGTCACACAGCGAGCCCCTGCTGCACCTGCCCCACTTTCCCAGGACCTGCGGGTGGGGTCTCCGGAGGGTGCTGCCCTGGGTGGGGACGGCGCGACGCTCCCCAGGCTTGGCCGCGCCTCCCAGGTTCCCCAGCGCTGTGGATCTGCGCCCGGGGCAGGGCAGGGAAGCCCCAATTCATTACCAAGATGGAAAATGACGCTTCCCCGCGCGCGCACTTCCCCAGGAGAGGGGCTGATTTATGGCTGCGCCAGGGCCCGGGACATCCGTCAGCGCAGCGCAGCGCGCACGCCGTCTGCGGGGGCATTAATAGCGCTGTTATTAGCCACCGGCGTGAAAGATGCCCTGCGGATCGGCCATTTGCTGTTATTTATTATAAAGGCTCGCCAACCCGGCAGCGAGGGCCCGAGCCTCCGGGAGCAAGCCCCAGCCCCAGCCCCGGCCCGCGGGCGCCCCCGCCCCTGCCAGTCCCCACTCTCCAGGGAGGTGATTTCCAGAACAGAGGCGAACCGGAGGGGGGGCGCCCAGCCGGCTGGCTGTAGGCTGCTCCCCAGGCCTGCAGCCCCAAGGATGCCTAGAGAATGGTGGGCAGGTCTGGGTACCCATGGTGGGCGGTGCAGCCTTCCACCCCCAAGGCAGGGAAGAGTAAGGAGGAGCCAGTCAGGCCAATGTGGGTTGGGGACCTGGCCCCCAGGGAGAGCAGTCTGAGCTTGGGCAGTATGTCCCTTTGTGCAGACAGGGACCCCTGAGCTGCTGCCCTGCACATGAGGGAAGTAGGGGACTGGCCCAGCACCCAGGTATGAGGTGTGACCATTGCTGGTGATAGACCCCAACCTCATGGGGCCAGAGGGTCTGCCGACACCCCAACCCCACTCCCGTCCTGCTTGAGCTGGGACACTAGCCACTGTCATGGGGTCTCCAACGCTGACCCCCTAGCAAAGGGTGGGAGAGTTTAGAAACATGGACGTGGAGGGATACGTGGAGGCTCCCTGTGTGTCTGTGGGGGCAGGGGAGGGTAAAGCCCACCCACCCAGCTGGTTTCTGCTAGCCAGGAAGGGGACCATTCCCAGGAGGCAGACCTGAGGCTGGGCAGGGCGAGGTGGCTCCCAGGGCAGTCAGAAGAGATGGGACAGTCAGGCATCTGTCCCGGGGTTGCCTTCTACCCCCAGGGACTTGGTGGGCCCCCACTGGGCAGCCGAGAGGAGAAGTGAGGGACTTGCACAGGGAAGCGTTATGGACAGCGGCCTGAGCTTCTCTATTAGACCAGTCCCTTTGCTTGGCCTGTGGTCAGGGGACCCACCCACCAGCCCTCCCCATGGGGGACAGAGGGAGGACTGCGCTCCTCTTTTCTCCTCCTGCCTGGCCCAGGACCCCAGACTCTAGGGCTTCCTTTTAGGGGGTCTCCATTCATTCATTCTGAACCTTGGTGAGCAGTTCGAAACCGTCAGCCACCCCGTGGGAGAAAGATGAGGCTTTCTACTCCCATAAAGAATTCGTCTCAGAAACCCGCTGGGTCAGTTCTCTTCCGTCCTGCAGGGTCAGGGTCACTGTGCAGTCCCAATTGACTCAATGGCTGTGAATGCCTAGGATTTCTGTTTGTTTGTTTTTGTTTAATTTTGTTTGTGTGTTTGTTTTTGTTTCATTAACTTGCTCCTGCATTCTCCCAGTCGTGAACTCATCAGACTTTGACCAGACATGTCCTCTCCGGGGCAGGAACAAGACACAGGCCTCTCCCTGCCTTCCAGTGGTCGATTCTCCCACCCTACAGGACACCCTACTCATGGCCACCCTACAGGACAGAGTAGAGCTGTTGGTTCGCGTCCCAGGGGCTGTAAGCCTTACAGGAGTAGACAGTCTGAACTTTCTCCCAAGGATCAGCTGGTGGTTTTGACCCCTGACTTAGCTCAATCCGTAACCCACTGCGTCATCAGAACTCCTACGAAATAAGTGATCGTGAAATAGGTGGCGGGGCTGGGGAGGGGCTGAGGAAGAGTCAGGAGCCCTAGTGGCCTAGGGCGTGCCACTACAGGGTTTGGGCTGCTAACCACAAAGTCAGCAGTTCAAAACACCAACCATCCTGTGGGAGAAAGGGGGCTTTCTACTCCTATAGAGTTCAGTTCTCAGAAACCCGCAGGGGCGGTTCTACCGGGCCTGTAGGGTCGCGAGGAGTCGGAACAGACTCGATGGTAGCGAGTGGTTCCCGTGAGTTGCTCAGAGCAGGGCCTGTCCCAGCCACCCGACCAACCCGGCTCCAAGGCTCTGATTGGCCATCGGGCCCCAGGATCCCCCCCACAGATTACTGAGGGTCTGGATGTACAGACCGCACACCGTTACGGCCTTGTTCTCTGCCACTGTTCCCGGTCCCTGCCCTTGCCCCCACCCCAAGGTAAAGCCCCCCGGTGCCCACTCTCCACTGGACATGCTCTTTTCCAACCCAGAAGAGTTGGGTCCCGGTGGCTGGGTGGCTTGGATAAGAATGGACGGGAGTGGAGAGACGTACCCGAGGCAGGAAGATCTGATTCGATCAGGAGCCCAGCGAGCGAAATTACAAATTACAAATTACACGTGTCTCCCTTCATCCCCCACCCCGCTCCTGGCCCCGAAGAGCTGGATATTGAACACAGTTATCAATCTAATTAACCTCCGACGACACCGTTTTAAAGTCTTGTTTGTGTCAAGCGATTTGCATTCTCGGAAGCGCGGGACACCCTGCCCCGGCACCGCCCAGCCGCCCGCCCACGCTGGAGGAGCTGGAGCCAGTGAGGGAGAGGGATTTACATACCTGTCTGCAATTACCGGCCAAGGACCACAGCGGATGCATTATGCGTGCCGCATGGAATTAGAGCAAAAAAATAATTAACTTTGGGGTTCCAAAGAGTTCCCCCACCCCCACCTCCATGCCTGTTACAAGTTGGAAGTGGCACCCAGGTGGTGGCGGGATGGAGGAGCAAAGTTGTGTGGGGTGACTGATGGGCGTGGCTGGCCAGCAGGTCCAGGGAGCCAAGACTAGAGGGCACCTGCCCTGAAGAGGTGCCTCCAGCAGATCCGACAGGGCCTGGAAAGGGCAGCTCTTGAGACCCCCTCAAAAAGAGGGCGTGGAAAAGCGTGCCCATGTCTTAAGGTCCTCCAGGGCGGAGCGCTGCCCTGGCACTACCAGTGACGGATCTCTCACTGCCACCAGGACTCAGCGTCTGCGAAGCAATGCTAAACCCCAAAGCCAGAGGAACCCGCTGCCGCCCACTCCATCCCGGCTGGTAGCGGCCCTCCAGGACAGAGGAGCGCTGCCCCACAGGGTTTCCAAGGCTGTAGATCTGGATGGAGGGGGCCTGGTGGCGTAGTGGTTACACAGCATTGGGCTTCTAACGGCAAGGTCGGCAGTTCAAAACCACCGGCCGTTCTGTGGGAGAAAGATGAGACTTTCTACTCCCCAAAGTGTGACAGTCTCAGAAACTCACAGGGCAGTTCTACCCTGTCCAAAGGGACGCTGTGCACCGGACTGGAGTGCCAGTGGTTTTTCTTTGCAACAGAAACCACCCTGCCTTCTCAGAGCTCACCATCTGTGGTGGTGACCAAGTGCCCCATGGGGCTGGGGTCCCGCCTGCCGGTCCCCTTCTAGGCTGAGAAACAGCTTTGGGAGGTGTAGCCAGTGGGGGCCTCCTGGGAGAAGAGGAATTAGTCACTGCAGGAGAGTCCAAGAGCTAGGGCAGCCAGGGTCTGCAGCAGCCCTCTGTGCGCCAGGGGCTGGGGTCCCAAGCCCCCTTGGGACTTACAGGCACAGACTGAGTGGAGCGATTACAGCCCCAGACAAGGAAAGAGAGGTTCAGTGCGGTAGGGAGAAGCTGCCAGCACCCCCTGGGTACCTTCCCCACCTACCTGACCCCTGTTACCCAGTCTGAAACACCCCAGCCAGGGATGGGACTGGTGGGAGTTTGGAATGTGGAGTGCTCCTGGGCCAGGCAGGAGCACTGTGACAGAGCTGAGATTCAGAAAGTAATGTCCCTGGGGGACCTGAGAGCCAGCGACAGCAGCCAGGGGTCCCTGGCAAAGACCCAAGCAGTAGATACAGCTGCTGCTGCTGCGGGTGGTGGTGGTGGGCCCGGCTTCCTATTCCTCAGGGCGGACCATGCCATCCGGGTGGAGGCCCCACCCAGCTCAGCCCCACTGTTCCCCAGCCCTGCAGAACCAAAGAGCACTTGGTGGCCTCC